CCTGTGCATAAAAGATGGCTTAAATTATTTTTGCCAAGGCACCAAAAACTCATTGGTGTCCATATCTTTCATGTATATTAGAGGCTGTAGTGAATTTAGAGGGTTCTGCCATTTCCTGACCATCCCTGGGCAAGTCTATTACAGGGGTGGTAGAAAAGGAAAAACACTGCCTTTGGAATTAGAGCTTAGTTTGGATTCTTGATCTAGCATTCTTAGTTCTGTGTACCTGGTTAAGTTACTTTATGTCTTTGAATTTTAGTTTCCCAAGAGTGAAAATCTATTGAACTCTTAATTTGGTCAAGCAGGTGCTTGGACTAGACCTCTTGGAAGGAGTTGGAGTAAGAGTGGGGGTAGGGGCTCAGAAAGGGCTTCTCAGAAATGTAGCTGCTTAACCCCATTGCCTGTGATACTTGTGCTTGACCACAAACTTTAAAAATTTCCAAAAGTCAACTGTTCTTCTGCCTAAAGAAATAACTTTATAAAAAAACTCAGTCACATGGCAGAGAAATTACGTTTCACAGAGGAACCCGCACCAGTGCCTGGAACTCTCACAACAATTGCTGGTAAAATAAGAGAAAAAGTCTTTGCAGTTCTCAGTTTAAATACAACAGAAACCTTAGTTTCTTTGATAAGATCTATTGTACAGAGTTAAGGGAGGGGTTAAATTAGAGTTGTAAAATGTCTCCCAGTGCCTAATTTATAATAGGTACTTAATACTTCTTTTCTTTCTGTTCCACCTCATTTTTTGTGTGTGTGGTACATGCCCCTAGGGGGAACCGAACCTGGGACCCTCTGGTCCACAGGCTGACACTCGACCACTGAGCAAACAGGCCAGGGCCTGTCCCACCTCATTTTTAAGAAGAGTATGTTTAACTAGGTTCCTTCTTTCTTTTATTTATTACACACACATTTTTTTTTTTTTTTTAGATCTTCACCAGAGGACATTTTTCTATTTATCTTCAGATAGAGTGGGAGGGAGGGGAGAGAGAAAGAAATATCAATGTGAGAGAGACACATCGACTGGTTGCTGACCCCAAGCAGGGTCAGGGAGGAACCCACCTGAAGTACATACCCTTGACCGGAATCAAACCTGAGACTCATTGGTCCGCGGGCTGATGCTCTAACCACTGAGAAAACCAGCCAGGGCCCAGTTTTATTGAGATATAGTTGACACATAACATTGTATTAGCTTAAGGTGTTCAACATAATGATTTGATATATGCACGTATTGCCATATGATTACCACAGAAAGTTTAGTTAACATACATTACCTCACATAGTTACAATTTTCTTCTTGTGGTGAGAACTATTAGTGTCTGTTCTCTTAGCAACTTCCAAGTATAAAATACAGTGTTGTTAACTATAATCACCATGGTGTACATTACATAGGTCCCTTTTAATTCTAAAATTCTGTAATTCCTTCCCTTCTAACTCTCTAGTACTTTATAACGTTTTATATTTTCTCATAGTGGTGTGTAATTATAAATGTTGTCTTCCCTGGCAAGATTATACATTCTTTGAGGGTGGAAATCATTTACCTTCATTTCTTAGAAGTTATATGGAGACATTTTATCTAGCTCAGTGCCATTTGATGATAGCAGCTCAGAAAATGTTTTCTGTAAGAATGCATGAACTAAAGCTAAAATTCCAAGTGATATGGAGGGAAGTAGAATAGGCAAAATTCAGTTAAAAGGCTATAATGGCCCAGCTGATATGGCTCAGTGGATTGAGTATCGCCCCATGGACTGAGAAATCCCAGTTCAATTCCAGGTCAGGGCTCAGTCACAACATGCCCAGGTTGTGGGCTCAGTCCCCAGTAGGGGGCTTGCAGAAGGGAGCAGATCAATGTTTCTATCTCTCCCTCTCCCTTCCTCTCTATCTAAAATAATCAGTAAAAACATATTTTTTGAAAAAGGCTATAATGAATTTTCCAGATTGAGTTTAGTGTTTATTTCTTACAGCTTTTCAGATGTCAACATGTAATATGTAAAATAATAGCTTACTATCATTTTTCCCACCTAGAAAATAATTATAGATCAAATCCATCATTAGCTGTTTAAAAACTAGGTTTTAGTTAAATGAGTAATGTGTAAATATTCAAGTGGAAAAGTAAAACGATACAAAAATGTTCCCTTGACCTCTCTTAGTTTCTGCACAGGTTATAGCAGTGATCAATTTTGTGTTTGTATTTTTTTTCCATCTTTGCATCTATGTATCTAATGAAAATGAGACTTTTATATGAGTGGTCATGATTAACTTTTAGGTCTTAGTGGAATTTTAGACATTGCCCAGTCCCCCTTTTCCATCCCTTCCCCATTTTATAAATGAGGAAACAAGTTCAAATGGTTAAGTGGCTTACCCAAATCATAGCTGGTTAGTGACAGAACCAGGACTATAACCCAGGTCTTTGGACTCCTAAGCCAGTATTTATCCTACTAGAGCAAATGATATCCTTAAGAAAGTACAGATTGTTGGAACAAAACTAGTTCTTTAGTTGCATAATTTTTCCTCTAAAGGTTTTTCTTTGATGATCTTGACTCAGAATTTAACTTTCTGGTATTTAAAAAAAAGTCAAGGTGAAAATTAATAGATGGAACACCTTAAAAGCATAATACAGTTGACTTTGTAATTAGCAGAGTTGAAAGTGATGAGAAGATCCTCTAATTTTCTTTGTACCTTCAGGAAGGTGGGAGTCAATCATTTTGACAAGTCCCCTGTAAGGAACAGATAGCAGGAGCTGAAACCTTTTCCCATTTGGTCTTGTGGCAAAGGCAGAGATCATGCCAGCAGCTCCACACAGTATGGAAGGCAGTTCTTATATTATTAAAGTTGTTTTTGTTTATTTATTTATTTATTTTTTTTAGTTTTAAAAGTAATATGTTTGGCCCAGTTGGTGTGGCTCAGTGGTTGAACGTTGACCCATGCACCAAGAGGTCGCCGGTTCGGTTCGCAGTCAGGGCACATGCCCAGGTTGTGGGCCTGATCCCCAGTGGGAGGGCATGCAGGAGATGGCCAATCGATGTCTTTCTCATCGTTGTTTCTATATCTCCCTCTCTCTCTGGGTATCAATAAAGGAAAACATATTGTTAAAATAAAAGTAATGTGTTTGGCTTTTAAAAAGTAAACTATAAAAATCCAAACATTTTAAATTATATATATTTGTTTTGTTTGTATGTTGTGGGTATTATTCCATGATAGTATATACAGATCTCACTGTGTTTTTTAAAAACAGTAGTCTCCACTTGTCCACACGGGATATGTTCCAAGACCCTCAGTGGATGCCTGAAACTGGAGTACTGAACCCTATATATACTAGGTTTTTTCCTATATGTGCATATATTTTCTTAATGGGAAGCACTTTTCAGCTTCAATTTGGCATATACGAATTGCCAGCATCATTACTCTTGCACTTGGGGGGTCATTATTATTTTTTTTTAATCCTCACCCGAGGACATTTTTCCATTTTTTTGTTCAGGTAGAGTGGGAGGGAGAGAGAGGAACAGAGAGAGAGAGAAAAACATCGACGTGAAAGGGACACATCGAGTGGCTGCCACCCGCACAACCGACCAGGGCCGGGGACAAACTGCAACCGAGGTACATGCCCTTAGCGGGAACCGAACCCAGGTCTCTCAGGACCGCAGGCCGACGCTCTAACCGCTGAGCCAAACCGGCCAGGGCGGGGCCATTATTAAATAAGGGTTATTTGAACATAAGCACTGCAATACCACTACAGTTGTTCTGATAACCAAGATGATTGGCTACTAAATGATCAACGAATGAGTAGTATAGTATATACAGTATGGATACACTAGACAAAGGATAATTCACGTCCTGGACAGGACTGAGTGGGAAGGAATGAGATTTTATCACACTACTCAGAATGGTATGTGATTTAAAACTTAAGAATTATTCCTGGAATTTTCCATTTAATATTTTTGAACCTTAGTTGACCTTGGGTAACAAATAACTGTGGAAAGTGAAACTGCAATAAGGAGGGACTACTGTAGTGTAAAATATTCCATAGCATGACGATACCATGATTTTCCTTAATTGTTCTGGTGATGGAGATAGAGATTGTTTCCTATATTTGACTATTTTCAATAATATTGCTTTGGACATCCTTGTAAATGTATCCATGTGTATTTGTATAGGTATTTCTGTAGGGTAAACTTCCAGAAGTGAAATATCTGGGTCAAATGGTATTGCCAAATTACTATCCACAAAATATTGTGCTGGCTTACACTCTCACTGATAGAGTGTGAGGGTGCTTTTTCTCATCCTCACCAACCTGGATTAATATGTCATCTTACTTTTTACCACTTTGATGGGGGAAAAAGTATCTCATTGTTCTAATATGTATTTCCATGATTTTGATGAAATTATCTTTTTCATATGCTTTTTTAAATTTTTTAGAGAGAAAGGAGGGGAGAGAGATACAGAAACATCACTGTGAGAGAAAACATCATCCTGCACGTCCCCTACTGGGATCGAGCCCAAAACCCAGGCATGTGCCCTGACCCAGAATTGAATTGGGACCTCTCAGTCCATGGGACAATGCTCAGTCCACTGAGCCACACCAGCTGGGCAAAGTTAAATATCTTTTTTTTTTAGCCTCACCCGAGGACATTTTTCTGTTTTTTGTTCAGATGGAGTGGGAGGGAGAGAGAGAGAGGAAGAGAACAGAGAGAGAGAAACATTGACATGAAAGAGACACATTGAGTGGCTGCCTCTTGCACGACCCAACCAGGGCCGGGGACAAACTGCAACCGAGGTACATGCCCTTAGCAGGAACCGAACCCGGGTCTCTCCAGACCACAGGCCAATGCTTTAACCGCTGAGCCAAATTGTCCAGGGCAAAGTTAAATATCTTAAAATTGTTTTTCATGTTACAAGTTACAGTGTAAAAAATTTGAAATGTTAGGACACCACCACTCTAGAGAGCAAATTGGAGTTGATATAAAGAGCATTTCCGGTTCCTCAATGAAACTTTTATTTCTCCAGGTATGATGTGTTCACTAGTGTCCTCCAGGGGTTCCTTGGATGAGGACGCATTGTCTGACTCCTTGTTGGACCTGAGTGAAGGAGAAGAAGATGATGGCCATTTCAGTCTCACAGAGGAAGAGATAGAGAAGTACTTGAAGGAGGATGATCTATTAGATGAGGAAGAGGAAAATTCATTGGACAGCAATGGACCGGTAGCTGAGACTCCTGGCCTTTCCGAATTACCTCAACTAAGTACATCAGTTGGTCAGGGACCAAGTCCTACGAAACCATTAAACAGACCCTTTGCACTAGAAAAGAATCTTGTAAAATTAACAGTTGTTGCACCATTTAATCCAACAGTTTGTGATGCTGTGCTTGATAAGGACAAGACTGATACATCCAAAGATATTGAAAAACCCTCTTCCCTTGGAGAAAAGATTAGAGAAGATGGGCTTAGTCCAAATAAGAGCAAACTTTGCACTAATTCTGAAGGGATCATCCCCAATAACTCTGCCTGGGATGGGCCCCCACTTCCTTCTCCTTCAAATAACTTCCAACAAACTGTCCCTGATAAAAGTATGCCTGACAGTAAGAAACCTACACCTATATTCTCTCAGATCTTGGACAATTCAGAGACTCCTCATATAGGGTCATCCTGGAGAAATGGATCCCATAAATCAAGTTGTGAAATGAGGTTTCCAGTTGTTTCCAGTTCATCAGACAAAGTAAGTATATTTTTTTCAAGGTAAAGAGAAAAATCTATTTTCATTCAGAAGCTGTATAGCAGAGCTTTGTGTTCAGACAAAGTGGGGTTTGAATCCTGTCTAGCACTGTGACCCTGGGCAGATTATGTAGCCTCTCTGTTCCCTCACATTTCTTATTTATAAGGTAGAGTAAATAATATTTCATGGTATAGTAAAGATGAATAAAATAGTGAATTTACAGTAATATACATGATATTAAATGGCCATTTATTGAATAATTAATAAGTTGAGGATGATTTTAAAGTTTTCCTTTCTTTGGGCTTTAGCCTAAGTCTCCGTCTTTGGTTACATTGCTATATTACCTACAGCACCAGCTCAGAGTCAGCCTTGGAAGAGCTGAAATATGTTGGACAATTTACTTAACCTCTTTGAGTCTGAATCCCTTTCTTCCAAATGGTTGTTTTGTTTTGTTTTCTTTAAAGAGAGAGGAAAGGAGAGGGAGAAACAGACAGAAACATTGATGAGAGAGAACATCAATTGGCCACCTCCTGCATACCCTCTACTGGGGATTGGGCCCACAACCTGGGCATGTGCCCTGACCAGGAATTGAACTGCAACCTCTTGGTGCATGGGTCAATGCTCAACCACTGAGCCACACCAGCTGGGCCCAAATAGGTTTAATAATCCCTGCTGCTTGGGGTTTTTGTGATTGTTAGTTTGTTTTTTCTTAAGATTGCAGTCACTATCTCATTTAAAGCAGCTATCATAGTGCCTGGTATACTGTGGGGTCAAGGATATGCTTCTGAGGCCTTTAGTTCTAGAATATTTCCATAAATAGTGTGCTCAGTTATTTTCTTATAACTAAGAATCATCTTTCCTTCTGCATTTCTTCTGTTCTGAAAAAAAAAAGGATATTCTTGACAAGGATTCTGGGAAGCTGAAAGTCCCTGAGAGAATAGGCAAAGTCATTCCTGTTCTGCAGGCCAAAACAAGGTAACAGTATAATGAAATATTGTTTTTTTTCCTCAGTTTCCTCATAGTGTGGAAAAAACACTGTCCCAGGAGTGAGCATACTTGAAGTTCTGGGACCTTCTATTGGTGTGACCTTGGGCAAGTCAAATAATCTCTGGCCTCTGCCAATAAAATCAGGCTAATGATGCCTTTTCCACTGCCTCACAGGATGATTTTGAAGAGTAAAAACAAGACATATTATTGAAAGCACTGTATAAATGTAAGATTTCTTTTCCTGTGTATGGGCAAGCCTGGTCACAGATATGGTAGAAGGTTAGAATTGATTTTTAACAAAAATGTTAAAATATAACTGTAGAAAATCATTTAGTCATCTCTCCTAACTTGCATACAACTGTCTTGGGGAAAAATTCTTATACAGGTTGCAGATTTGGGTCACCTTTCAATCTGTGCTCTTGTTTCCAGGAGATGGCAGTGTCTCCACATGGGCCTTTTTAATTAGTAAAGCTTTTTCAGTTGAGGCGCATTGGCTTCCTTACAGTGATTATTTATTTATTTATTTGTTAATCTTTACCCAAAGCTATTTTTCCATTGATTTTTTGTTTGTTTTTTAGAGAGAGTGGGAGGGAGGGTGGGAGTTGGAGGGAGAGAGATAAACATCAGTGTGAGAGAGACATATTGATTGACTGCCTCCTGCACAACCCCAACTAGGGCCAGGGATTGAACCTGCAACCCAGGTATGTGCCTTTGATCGAGAATTGAACTCAAGACCCTTTGGTCCGAGGGCCGACACTCTAATTGAGGAGTCAAGCCAGCCAGGGCTGAAAGTTAGTTGTTCTGATTGATCATCAGTATATGACTTCTGTCAACAAAACATTATACTCATGATTCTAATGGACTGTTTTCCTCCTGCTTTGTTCCAGGACTAACATTCCAACATTTTCACAATCAGATCTAGAACGGAAGAAGCAAACGTATGTTAGGAGTGTCTTTGCTCACATAAAAGACTCAGTGGACTCTAACCAAGGTAACGCAGTAACCAAAAATGGCATATAAAGATGTAACTTTTTTTCCTAGTGTAATATAGACTAAACTGAGATTGTTTTGAATGTTTTTAAATTGGTGAGAAAGATAACTTCCTTACCTCAGTATTTTCACTTCAAGAGATTGCCTAGCCAGATAATCCTCAAAATGGCTGAGCTAATCAGTATTAGAGAAGGTCCAAAGAGATTTATACCAGTATATGAATGAAAGTACCTTCCCTGTGGTGAGGACTCTAACCAGACTTGTACTTTTTGCCAGGGATTTTTTTTGGTCTGAAAAACAACAGAACCAGATGACCAGACACTGCTTAGTAATCATTAATTTTATTTGGAATTATTTGTTTTCCCTATTGCCTTTAGCATTTAAATGGTAAAAAGCAAGCATTTCAGATTACATCCTGCATCTTGCCATCTGAATAAAAGCTCTTGAAAGGCATTGACTACCTTCCAGATCCTTCAAGCTGAGTCATCTCTAGTTCATTAAAACCTATTGCAAACCAAAATGGCTAGACTCTTTCTCTTGCCCTCAAGAGACTATAGTTTGTGGTGTCATTCATCCTGAACTATTGGCTGATGGGGAAACTTGTGGGCTTTACTGAAGGTGCAGGGGTTAGAGAGGTTAGGTTTATAATATAAATCATCCTTCAACCCCTTATTCTAATTTAGTTCTAATCTCTTTTTAGTTTAGTGCCACCTGGTTCTTTAATAGTATTTACAAAGAAATACCAACCACTTTATGAAATCCCAGCTAATGGAAAACTTTATATGAAATTATAAATTCTTAGAGTAGAAAAGGACCATTAAGATATTCCTAATACTACATGATTCTGTTCTGTGTATCTTTGCCAAGTGACCATTCAGACTTTGCTTAGACCTCTAATAATGTAAAATTCATTACCTCATGAAGAAGGCCATTTATTGCTTTTAAAATTCTAATTGTGCCCTGGCCGGTTTGGCTCAGCGGTTAGAGCGTCGGCCTGCGGTCCCGAGAGACCCGGGTTTGGTTCCCGCTAAGGGCACGTACCTCGGTTGCAGTTTGTCCCCGGCCCTGGTTGGTTGTGCGGGTGGCAGCCACTCGATGTGTCCCTTTCACATTGATGTTTCTCTCTCCCTCTTTCTCCCTCCCGCTCTACCTGAACAACAACAAAAAAATGTCCTCGGGTGAGGATAAAAAACAAACAAACAAAAAAAAAACTTAAAATTCTAATTGTGAGAAAGTTATTCCTTACATTGAGTCAATTTCTGCCTGCCTTCCTATAATTTCCAGAGGTAGTTCCTAGTCTTGCCCTGTGGGATCACAAAAAAATAACTGCTCTCTTCCATTTATGTAAGGTATTTTAAGGACCTTTTAATGTTGAATATGTCAAATTAAGATTTCAAATGATTACAATATAGAATTTATTATTCTGTCTTGGATAATTAGATTATGTCTATTTTCATTAGTAATGCTGCAGGGAACATTCTGGTCAATAATTGTTTATGTACAACTCTAATTTCTATAGGATGAGTGCCTAGAAGTAGAATTGATGAGTAAAGTGCATAAATTTTTTTTTTTTTATTCCTCACCCGAAGATATTTTTCCATTTATCATTAAATAGAGTGGGAGGGAGGGAGAGAAAGAGACAAAGAGAAACATCGATGTGATAGAGCCACATCGACTGGTTGCCTCCCACACAACCCAACCAGGGCTAGGGACAAACCACAACCAAGGTATGTGCCCTTGACTGGAATTGAACCTACCACTCATTGGTCCACAGGCCAACGCTCTAACCGCTGAGCCAAACCGGCCAGGGCAACAATTTTTTTTTTTTTTATCCTCACCTGAGGACATTTGTTTTTGTTTTTTTTTTGCGTTTATCTTCAGATAGAATGAAAGGGAGTGTGGGAGGAAGAGAGAGAGAGAAACACCAATGTGAGAGAGACACATCGAGTGGTTGTCACCCATAAGACCCCAACTGAGGCCGGGAACGAACTGCAACCGAGGTACGTGCCCTTAGCAGGAACCAGACCCGGGACTCTCTGGTCTGTGGGCTGACGCTCTAACTGCTGAGCCAAACCGGCCAGGGCCCGGCAACAATTTTTAAACTTTTTTTTTTTTTTTTATTGATTTGTGAGAGAGAGGAAGAGAGAAGGAGAGAGAGAGAGAAACATCAATGAGATGTTTAAACATCGATTGGCTGCCCCCTGCATGCCCCCCACCGGGAATTGGGCCCAAAACCTAGGCATGTGCCCTGATTGGAAATCGAACTGGCGACTTCTTGGTACATGGGTCAATGCTCAACCACTGAGCAACACTGGCAGGGCCTTTTTTGTTGTTGTTATCCTCACCTGAGGACTTTTTTTTCCATTTTTTGTTCAGATAGAGTGGGAGGGAGAGAGAGAGAGAGAGAGAGAGAGAGAGAAACATTGACGTGAAAGGGACACATCGAGTGGCTGCCACCTGCACAACCAACCAGGGCTGGGAACAAACTGCAACCGAGGTACACGCCCTTAGCGGGAACCGAACCTGGGTTTCTCTGGACCACAGGTCGACACTCTAACCACTGAGCCAAACTGGCCAGGGCGTAACATCTTTTTTTTTTTTTGGTACGTGCCCCCAGCAGGAACCGAACCCTGGACTCTCTGGTCCACAGACCAACACTCCAACCGCTGAGCCAAACCTACCAGGGCTAGGCCATTTTTTTTTTTAAATCCTTACCTGAGGACACTTTTCCATTTTTTGTTCAGACAGAATGGGAGGGAGAGAGAGAGAGAAAAACATCGACATGGAAGGGACACATCGAGTGGTTGCTACCCGCACGACCCAGCCAGGGCCAGGGACAAACTGCAACCGAAGCACACGCCCCCAGCGGGAACCGAACCTGAGTCTCTCTGGACCGCAGGTCAACGCTCTAACCACTGAGCAAAACTGGCCATAGCAGGGTTGGGCCATTTTTAAAATTTTCGATACATGTTACCAGTTGTCCTATTTACACCCTCCAAATTGTATTTATTTTTATTGTCACCAATTTGATAGGTAAATTTTAACTTATTTTCATCCTCATCCAGGGATATTTTTCTATTTATCTTCAGATAGAGTGGGAGGGAGGGAGAGAAAGGGAGAAAGAGGGAGAAAGAGAAACATCAACGTGAGAGGGACACATTGACTGGTTGCCTCCAGCATTACCCTGACTAGGTCTTGAGACAAACCACAACCGAAGTATGTGCCCTTGACCGGAATCGAACCTGTGACTCATTGGTCTGTAGGCCGACATTCAGACTGCTGAGCCAGACTGTCCAGGGCTTAACATTTTGTTTTAATGATTAGTGAGCTTAAACTTTTTTTTCAATGTTTATTGGCAATTTATATTTAATCATAATTTCTTAAAATTATATAATATTCACACTTTATTCCAATTTCCTTAGTTTTTCCAAAAATGTCTCTTTAATTATCAAAACAGGATCTAATCAAGGTTTAACTGTTGTCTAGAACCCATGTGTACCACAATATACTGGACCAGCTTGGTGGTTGCCTATGCCAGCTGCTAGGTGAACTCAGAGAGGAATCTGTCTGGCATCGAGGCACAGGGCACATTGGTATTCATCATGAACATAGGCAAGAACTGGTACACAGGAACCAACATGCACATCTGTCTCTTTCCTTAGTCACTCTTAATCCATGTCACTTGTTTTGTAGATTGTCCCACATTCTGAATTATGTTTATTTCTTTTTTGTTGTCGTTTAACTTGTTCCTCCATCCCCTGTACTTCCTGCAAACTTGGGAAGTTGGGTCTAAAAGAGGGATTAGAGCCCAGCCCGTGTGGCTCAGTGGATTGAGTGTTGTCCCGTGGACTGAGAGGTCAAGGTTCCATTCCCAGTCAGGGTACATGCTGGGGTTGCAGGCTTGATCCCCAGTAAGGGGTGTGCTGGAGGCAGCCAATCCATGTTTCTATCTCTTCCTTCCTTTCTCTCTAAGAAAAATTAATAAAAACTATTTTAAAAAATAAATAAATAAAAGAGGGATTAGATTCAGATTAAGCATTTGTGGCTGGAGTAATTGACAGGTACTGTGATGTATCCGGTATCAAATTAGGAGGTACCACCTAATGACGGGTTATTCTACTAATAGTAGCGCTGAGTTTGATCACTTGGTTAAAGTGTTAATTGCCATATCCCTCCACTGTAAGGTACATTCCCCCTTTGTAATTAGTAAATCATCTGTGGAGTGATGCTTTGATACCATTGAAATACCCTGTTTCACAATTGTTCACCTAATGGTTTGATGATCCTTGCCTGAATCAGCTACTACACAGAGTTGGATAGAAAATGTTCATTTTATAAATATATCATTTTTCTACAATTATTAACTGGCAGTCTTCTCTCTATATTTTTTTATTTTTATGGGATGCTTCACGAATTTGTGTGTCATCCTTGCACAGGGGCCATGCTAATCTTCTATGTTGTTCCAATTTTAGCATGTGTACTGCCGAAGCGAGCACTATATAGATTTTTTTAATACCATTTTTACCTCATGGATTTTTTTTTTTCTGAAAAGGTTTTACACATAGAGGGGATGGGACTCGATTCTTGGCTGTAAGGGCATTGCTTAGCTCCTTTCTCTTCCTCTTGGCACAGTGTGTATCCCCATCCTTTTCTAGGTGAACTTCAGGGCCTGCTTGTCATTGGAGAACTTGAACAGCTTCACAGGGGGTTGTTTTTTTGTTTTGTTTTTTATTCCTCGCCTGAGGATATTTTTCTATTATTAGATAGAATGGGTGGGAGGGAGGGAGGAGGGAGTGACAGAGAGAAACATCGATGTGATAGAGCCACATCGACTGGTTGCGTCTGTGTCACACGACCCAACCAGGGCTGGGGACGAACCGAAACCGAGGTACGTGCCTTGACCGGAATTGAACCCACAACTCATTGGTCCTCGGGCTGACACTCTAACCACTGAGCCAAACTGACCAGGGCTATAGTGGGTTGTTAATAGGGGGCAAAGCTACACCCACCTCGGATCATGTCCCACACAAACTTGATGTGCTTGATGAGGAGCCTGCAGCAGCTGCTGTGCCTTGGCTTTTTCACGTTCTTGGTTACCTTGTAGCTATTTTGAGGCTCACTGCCATGGGGTGTCGCAGAGCCATGGCTGCTGCCCTTCAATGGCTGTTGCTAATGAAAGGCCAACAATGCACGGAACCCCGTATGGATTTTTTTTTTTTTTTTAATCCTCACCCGAGGACATTTGGACATTTTTTCCATCTTTTGTTCAGATAGAGTGGGAGGGAGAGAGAGAGAGAGAGAGAGAAACATCGACGTGAAAGGGACACATTGAGTGGCTGCCACCTGCACGACCAACCAGGGCCGGGGACAAACTGCAGCTGAGGTATGTGCCCTTAGTGGGAACCGAACCCAGGTCTCTCTGGACTGTGGGCCGATGCTCTAACCACTGAGCCAAACTGGCCAGGGCCCGTATGGATTTTTTTAAAACTCTGTTATAATCTACTATATTCATTATTTTTCTTTTTTATTTGTCCCAGATTTGACCAATAGGAACTCCTTCAAGTGGGTTTCTGTGTCTTCTGACATGACCCCATTAATCTTTTTTTTTAATTGTGGTAAGAAAACAACATTTAGCCCTGGCCAGTTTGGCTCAGCGGTTAGAGCGTCGGCCTGCGGTCTGGAGAGACCCGGGTTCGGTTCCCGCTAAGGGCACGTACTTCGGTTGCAGTTTGTCCCTGGCCCTGGTTGGTCGTGCGGGTGGCAGCCACTCGATGTGTCCCTTCACGTCGATGTTTCTCACTCTCTCTCCCTTCCTCTCTCTCCCTGCCATTCTATCTGTACAAAAAATGGAAAAATATCCTCGGGTGAGGATAAAAAAAAAGGAAACAACATTTACCATTTTAACCATTTTTAAGTATACAGTTCAGTAGTGTTGTGTTTATTGATGTTCCTGTGAAACATACCGAACATTTTTACCGTGCAAATCTCAAACTCTCTACCCATTAAAAATCAAGCCTCCCCACCCTCACCCCGGAAGCCCCTGGTAACGACCATTCTACTTTGCTTCTATGAATTTGATTATTCTAGGTATCTCATATAAATGGAATCATACAGTACTTGTCTTTTTGTGATTGACTTATTTCACTTAGCATAATGTCCTCAAGGTTCATCTGTGGTGTAGCATATGCCATAATTTTCTTCCATTTTACAGCAGAATATTCTGTTGTATGTATATTCCACATTATGTTTCCCATTAATCCTTCAGTGGACATTTAGATTGCTTTAACCTCTTGACTATTGTGAATAGTGCTGCTATGACATGGGTATACAGATATCTCCTGAAGATCCTGCTTTCAATTTCTTTTGGATATGCATCCAGATGTGGGATTGCTGGATCATATGGTAGTTCTGCTTTTGATTTTTTGAGGAGACTCCATACTGTTTAACATAGTGGTTGCACTATTTTATAACCCTACCAACAGTACACAAGGGTTCCAGAATCTCTACAGCCCCGCCAGCACTATTTTTATTTATTGATTGGTTTTCAGAGAGATAGAAACATCAAAGTGAGAGAGAAACATTGATGGGCTGCCTCCTGCACACCCCCTAGTGGGGTTTGAGCCAGCATCTAGGGCACGTGCCCTGACTGGAAATGGAACCTGGACCTCTCAGTCCATGCGACAACTCTCAATCCACTGAGCCATACCTGCTGGGCTGTACTTGTTTTTGTTTTTGTTTTTTTTTATTGCATGGCATAGAGACGTGATTGCCTTTAAGTAACTGAGTTTAAGGATTTACAGGGAAAAAATGAAGATTATTAGATGCTGAACAATATAGCCAGGCCTCATAGTAAAAAGAATCAGCCATAGAGCCAGACCCCCTCAGAAATGGGTGTCATTTTAGGTTTCCCCAGCTGGTTTAGTGCTTCTTTTGCTCTCTATTAGCTATCTCAAGGTCTGTTTCCTAGATCCCTGCCAGTGTGCTCTTCTCTGTTTTGTTCTCATTATGAAAGCTTACATTCACATTACAAAGGAGAGTATCTGATTGATTCACTTGATGACTTGTTGGTGCCAGGCCAGCTTGTAAATCATTAGCCAGCTGAGAGAGTCTCTGTTCTTGGATCATGTGTCACACTTGATGAGTAGGATCATGTGGTACAAAGTTTGGTGCCATATAAAACCTGTCCGAAGGGCCATTGACATAGCAAGACTCTGCATTAGCATTCTTCCTCCTCTATAACGATTGTTTCACTTTTAACTGATTCAGGACAGTTATTAGATTGGATTTCCCCCCAAAACTAGTCAGCTACATATTTATAGATTAAGGTTTAGATGAATTGCCAATTTCATTCCTGAAATTTTAAGGTTTTTTTCCTCCTAATTTCATTCTTAGGTGAATTTTCTTAGCCACAAAACAAAAGATCATTTTCACCACCTTTTAGCCACAATTTAAAATAAACCCATGGTACTAATTGTTGGTCCAAGAAAGCCCATCTGTTAGAGACTATGAAGGGAAGAGAAAATTCAAAACTTGAAACAAAAATATTTCTATTCTTGTTAGCATCTCTAAATTTGGAGGAAGAAGAGATTGAAGCTATGAGCTGAAATAAGGTTTTTGGATTACTAGCCCCACATGGGTTTGAATTCTGGCTTTCCCATTTACTAGATTAGAGATCACTATCTTTTCTAAGCTTCCATTTACTCATGAATAAAATGGAGATTATGGTATTTGCCTCATGTGGTTTATAGGATTAAATGATAGGATACATGCAAAGCAGTCAACAAAGTGCCTGGTACATAATAAGTGCTTGATAAGTGTTGGCTCCTATTATCTCTAGATCATTAAATCTTATTAATAATAAAGGTTACCATAGTCCATCAGCAAGTTCTTAGTGCTAATGAAAACTAACATTTTTGGGTGCGTGAACTGAGATCTAATTATTGAGCCCTGTTTACACAGCGCTGTGCCAGGTGACAACTGGGTATTTGAGACATATTGGCCCTGGCTGGTTTGGCTCACCAGCTTAGAGCATTGGCCTGTGGACTGAAGAGTCAAGGGTTTGATTCCTGGTTAAGGACATGTACCTGGGCTGCAGGTTTGATCCCTGGCCCTGGTCGGGGTTATGCGGGAGGCAACCAATCAATGTGTCTTTCTCACATCAATGTTTCTCCCTCTCTCTCCCTGCCTCTTTCCCACTGTGTCTGAAAAAAATCTATGGAAAAATATCCTTGGGTGAGGATTAAAAAAAGAGAGAGACATACTGTGTTATGTTTCTTGCTTTCTAATCCCCACTTTGAAATGTCAGTCCCAGGAACATTTGTAAGGAAACGCAATCCATGGTATTGTTGGAATTTGGAGTCTGTCACTAGTTGTGTAACCTTGGACAAATTGCTTCTCTGTGCCTCAGTTTCTTCATCTGTAAAATGGGGGAAATACCACATATTATTGTTATAAGGAATAAATGAGTTAATATGTATAAAATACATAGGACAGTGTCTGCTAAGTAGTAATTGCTATATATAAGTTGTTGCTGCTAGATTATGATGCCTAGCAGTTGAATACTTGAAGCCTCCTTGGGCCTAATTGACCAGTCTTTTTCTTTTAGTTGAAGCAGCGGTTCTCAACCTGTGGGTCATGACCCCTTTGGGGGTTGAACGACCCTTTCACAGGGGCCGCCTAAGACATAACAGTAGCAAAATTATAGTTATGAAGTAGCAACGAAAATAATGTTATGGTTGGGGGTCACCACAGCATGAGGAATTGTATTAAAGGGTTGCTGCATTAAGAAGGTTGAGAACCACCGCTCTTTAGTCTATCTGAAAAATATCCTCAAATGAGGATTAACAAAAATAAAAGTTACTTTCCATCTTAAGTGGGAAATTTGTTCCCAATTTATATTTTCTTATCAAGAAGTGAGATTAGCCCAGCTGGTGTGGCTCAGTGGTTGAGTGTCTACCCATGCACCAAGAGGTCACCAGTTCTATTCCCGGTCAGGGCACATATCCAGGTTGTAAGCCAAATCTCCATTGGGGAGCATGCAGGAGGCGGCCAATCAATGTTCTTTCTCATTGATATTTCTCTCTCTCCCTCTCCCTTCCTCTCTCTCTAAAATCAATAAAGGAAAATAAATTTTTGGAAAAAATTTTACAAAAGTGAGATTAATGTTTTCTTACCATATTAGTGAGACTGAATTTTTTTCCAAATCCTCACCCAAGGATAGAGTAGAAGGGAGGGAGAGACAGAGAGAGGAACATCGATGTGAGAGAGACACATCGATTGGTTGCCTCCTACACACGACCCTGACCATAGCAACCAAGGTATGTGCCCAACCAAGGTACGGAATTAAACCCATGACTCTGTTCTGGGGGCCAACATTCTAACCACTGGGCAAGACTGGCCAGGGCTTGAACATTTTTTTCATTATGTTTATTGATCACTTATATTACTTTTGTGAATTATCTATTCATGCCCTTGACCTTATTTGTTTAATGAGGAGACTTATGTTTGTAGAAAAAGGACATTAAACCTTTGCTGAATATATTTCAGATATATTTTTATTTTGTCAATTTTTTTTTACCAACTTGGTTGTGCTTTTTTATTTTAACTACACAGAACTTTTAATGTAATGAATCTATAAATTTTTCCTGAAAAGTATTATGTCATAGTTAGAGAATTTCTGCTGAGTGCTGCTGAGTGTCATAGTTGATATGTAGACTGATCCATTTAATAAGCATTTTTCTTTACAGATAGGTGATTGATTGTCATAGGATTTGAAGACTCATTGCAAACTAACATAGGCCAGAGGCTGTAACATCATAATAATAGCTACTACTTACTGTACATGGGCTGTGTGCCAGGCAGTATGCTAGGTCTTTTATGTACTATGTCCCTAATACTCAATTTCAACCTCAATATTACTGTCCACAGTTCTTTGATGAGTAAAGTGGGGCTAGAAGAAATGAAATGATTTGCCCAGAGTCAGAGAGCTAGTGACTGGATTAGAATTTTAATTTGTCTGCCTAACTGCAAAGTATATACTTTTCTACAAAGGTTGGCTTCTTGAGGCTTCAAATAAATTAAAGTGGTCCTAAAAGTTAAGTAAATATTTTTTATCAGAATTTAAAGAGATGGTCTGTAGCCTAGTTAGAGTGCCCTTGGTTCCTGAGAATATAGTAGATAAGATAATGAGATCTATATAAACTAGATGATAGAAAGATTTCCACTGACTAGGGCAGTGGTTTTCAACGTCTGATTCCCAGACAAGCAGCATCAACATTACTTGGGCATTTGTTAGAAATGCAAAATCTCAGCTCAGGGACCTACAGAATCAGAAACTGGGGTTGGGGTCTAGCAGTCTGGTTTATAACACCTCCAGCTGATTATGATGTATGTTAAAATTTGAGAGCCACTGGTCCAGGGAAATTGTGGTCTCCTTAATCATAATTTCTGCTTTTGTGAGCTTCAGTTTAAGTCTCAACCTTTAAGTGCAGAATTAGCATCATCGAATAGTGGCAAAAGCTGGAATCGAAGCAAGTAGTTTTGAGTCCAGTTTAATAAGCACTTATGGCAAGTCTACCTCCCTGAGCTATAGTTTTCCATCTCTAAAGTGATGTTAATAACATCTATCTCCATATATGACCTTTTTTTTTTAATTAACATGTGTCAAGTGCTTACTAGCACCTTTCCAGACACCCAGGTGTTTGAGAAATTGCTTCCAGCAATTTTTCTTTTTAAGCAAAGAGCCCCCAATGCCCTTCTATTCTCAATTTCCTACTTCTTTTTTTATCCTTACCCAAGGACATTTTTCCTTTTTTTTTCTTTGTTCAGATGGAGTGGGAGGGAGGGAGGGAGGGAGAGAGAAACATCGATGTGAATGGGACACATTGAGTGGCTGCCTCCCGCACAACCCAACCAGGGCTGGGGACAAACAGCAACTGAGGTATGTGTCCTTAGCGGGAATCGAACCCTGGTCTCTCTGGACCACAGGCCGACACTCTAACCACTGAACCAAACTGGCCAGGACAATTACTTATTTCTTTTTTTTTTTTTATCCTCACCCGAGGACATTTTCCCATTTTTTTTGTTCAGGTAGAGTGGGAGAGAGAGAGAGAGAAACATCAACGTGAAAGGAACACATCGAGTGGCTGCCACCCGCACAACCGACCAGGGCCGGGGACAAACTGCAACCGAGGTACGTGCCCTTAGCGGGAACTGAACCCGGGTCTCTCAGGACCGCAGGTCGACGCTCTAACCACTGAGCCAAACCGGCCAGGGCAATTACTTATTTCTTGAATGTATTTTGCTATCTTGTGTCTCTAGGCCTTTGTATTAGCTATTTCTCTTGGACACCCCCACCTCCCACCCTTCTTGATCTCACCAACTTCTTACATTTTAGATCCCTGCTTATAGTTTACTTCCCTTGGAGGGGACTTTCTCTGACCCCCACTCCCCAGTCTCTGTGTGTCAATGCACATATCATAAAATTTGGAATCACCTGAGGATAGGTACAGTGTTTTATATACCACCATGTTCTAGGGGACAATAAAGTTACTCACACATTGTAGGAGCTGATAAATGTTGAATGAATGAATGAATGAATGAATGGTAGCTGTCATTATTGTTTCTTCTTTGTCATTATGATCATCTCCAAGAGCAAGCTTGTAGTTTTTGTGCTGATTGTGATGATTATAAATAGATAGTATTAGGACCAGTGCCTGTTTTCTTTTTCTCTGAAAACTTTGACCTAGGCTGATATGGTAGTTCATTGAGCTGTTTCCTAACCACTGATCTCTCTGTATTACAGGTGCCTTGGTGGAACTGTGTTCTTTGATGGATCAAGTTCATCATGTGCATAACCATCCACATCCTTCGGACCTCACCATTCGGTGAGTGGGTGATTAGAAGGAGGAGGAAGAGGGTAGAATTTGACTATAGGAGGAGTATGGTGGGGGGTTGAGGTCATAATGTTGTTTAAAACCAGAGGTGGAAAAAGAAGGAATATAATGGAATAAGAACTGGACTGAAATGCCGGAAACCTGGATTCTGATACTAGCTATGCAGTTTTTCATTAGCTATATGATTTTGATCTAATCACTTCTCTGGTCCTTGCATCAGTAAAATTAAAATGTTGGACTAATTGATGTCAAAAGGCCTTTAAAAAAGTTTTTGCTCTTTGTTTCTTGCCACTTCTTGCTATTTGGCTGCACGCTCTCCACACCTTATAGCCATGCCTCACAAAATTGAGGAAATCAAGGACTTTCTACTCACAGCCAGGCGAAAGGATGCCAAATCTGTCAAGATCAAGAAAAATAAAGATAATGTGGAATTTAAAGTTCGATGCGGCAGATACCTTTATATCTTGGTTATCACAGACAAAGAGAAGGCTGAGCCCTGGCCGGTTTGGCTCAGCGGTTAGAGCATTGGCCTGCGAGAGACCCGAGTTCGGTTCCTACTAAGGGCATGTTTGCAGTTTGTCCCTGGCCCTGGTTGGTTGTGCGGGTGGCGACCACTCAATGTGTTCCTTTCGCGTCGATGTTTCTCTCTCTCTCTCTGTTCCTCTCTCTCCCTCCCACTCTACCTGAACAAAAAATGGAAAAATGTCCTCGGGTGACGATGATAAAAAAAAGAGAGAGAGAGAAGGCTGAGAAACTGAAGCAGTCCCTGCCCCTAGGTTTGGCAGTTGAGGACATGAAATGAACCAGACACGCCCATCTGTATTAACATGTTAAAAATTAAAAAAAAAAAAAAAAAGTTTTTACTTATTAGAGAGAGGGGGGAAGGAGGAGAGAGAGAGAGAGAAGCATCAGTCATCTACCTCCTGCACACCCCATACTGGGGATTGAGCCTATAACATAGGCATGTGCCCTGACTGGGAATCAAACCCATGACCTTTTTGGTGCCTGGGACGATGCTTAACCAATTGAGTCACACTGGCCAGGGTTTAAAGAGCCTTTCTAGTTCTGAAATCTTATGGATTCTTGATAAACTGTGTGATTTTATAGATTTATTCAGTTACTTTGATCCAGTTACCCAGAATCTTTGACTCCTTTTTCTCTTACCATATATTTAGTCAATTAGCAAATTCTATGAGCTCTACATACAAAATATATCCAAAACCTGACCATTTTGCATCATTTTTACCTGGATTTTTGCAAATCTAAATGATCTCCCTGCTTCTGCCCTTGCCTGTCTGCTGTTCTCAACTCAGCAGCCAAAGAGAATCTTTCCAAGCATTAGTCATAAGTCAGATTCTCTTCTTTGCTCAGAATTTTCCAGTAGCTTTTCATCTCACATCTTCCATCTTTACGATCTCCTTCATCTCCTATAAGGACCGTGGCCGAGGTTGACATAGTTAGCTCACCAACCTCATCTCCTACTACTCTGGGCTTTGTTTGCTGTAGTCACACTGACTTCCTTACTATTTTTCAACTATGTCAGACACTCTCCTACCTCAGCCTTTATTATTATTATTATTTTTTATTTTATTTTTTTTTAATCCTCACCCGAGGACATTTTTCCATTTTTTGCACAGATAGAGCGGGAGGGAGAGAGCGGAAGAGAGAGAGAGGGGAGAGAGCGGAAGAGAGAGAGAGAGGGAAACATTGATGTGAAAGGGACACATCGAGTGGCTGCCACCCACACGACCAACCAGGGCCAGGGACAAACTGCAACCGAGGTACATGCCCTTAGCGGGAACCGAACCCGGGTCTCTCCAGACCGCAGGCGGATGCTCTAACCGCTGAGCCAAACCGGCCAGGGCCTACCTCAGCCTTTACATTTATGTTTCCTCTGTAGTTATCAGAAAGACAGTTGCTGTAATGGTTATTAGATAAATTCTGGAGTCAGATGTGAATTCAAATCCAGGCTCTTCTACTTACTCCACTATATAATCTTGAGCAAGTTAGTTACCCTGAGGATCAGTTTCTGTACATGTACAAATTGTTAATGAGAGTGCTTTTCTCATAGTATTGTCATTAGCATTAAATGAGATGAGGTGAAAAATTCAGCAAGTGCTTGCATACAGGGCTAGGTAAATGTCAGGTATTGTTATAATTATTTTTAACCCTGGCTATTTCTCATAATCACCTGTGGAGATGTCTAAAAATATCGATGCTCAGGCTCTAAATCGTCTAGTCTGGGGGTGAGGAAGGGGCTAAGAATCTGTATCTTTTTTTTTTTTTTTTTTTATCCTCACCCGAGGATATTTTTCCATTTTTTGTACAGATAGAGTGTGAGGGAGAGAGAGTAAGGGAGAGAGAGAGAGAAACATCGACGTGAAGGGACACATCGAGTGGCTGCCACCGCACGACCAACCAGGGCCAGGGACAAACTGCAACCGAAGTACGTGCCCTTAGCGGGAACCGAACCCGGATCTCTCCGGACCGCAGGCTGACGCTCTAACCGCTGAGCCAAACTGGCCAGGGCAAGAATCTGTATCTTTAAAACGTTTCCCACGTAGGTTATTAGGAACGGCTGGAGTTGAGAATGAACTCAAATTATCTCAGTGGGTCAAGTTTAGAACCCTAGCCTAGCACATGACTAAAGGAGACTCTCAAGAAACTCTAAGTCTGTGCTATTAATTGTTCAGTTTCTAAACCTGCAGTGTGATACTCACATGATGATTTACCTTCTCTGGGATTTTGTTCTAATTTTAACTGCTATGTCCTGAGCAACCTTGAGCTGTGGCAGACAACGAGGTCCTGTTAGAAGTATAGCTGTGATGCAAGCAGTGAAATACAGATCCTGTTCTAAATGCATCTAGAGGGAAAAAAATATTTTTTCTACTTAATCATTATTATACATTGTACATTAGGTTTTCTTGGGACATTTGTGTATATGACACTTGTCACCATTATACCTGCCTGGGAATTAGGTGGCTTTGGAATTTGGAAGCAAATAGCAGTCATAATGTGACTTTCATATAAAATTTCTAAAATTGTGAGAATTTAAATATAAAATTAATATTTGATTTCTTAAAGATATTCTTAAAATAGTTATATACAAATAGCCATGCCAGCTGATACCTTCATCTTTTCTGTTTTTACTTTCCCTCTCTCCTAATAGAAACTATGCCCGGTTCCGACAGAAACCTCTGGAAAGATACAGTCTGACTCAGTGGGTTGACCGGAACAAGCGAAGCCACCAACGGTTCCAGAGTCTCTAAGATATCCAGTACAGTCCATGTGTCTCATCCCATTAGCAGTGAAAGTCCCTGTCCAGGGTCCTGTCCAGAGCAGCATCTCATCTGCTGTTTTGTGATTTGTAGATTTTGAATTTTATTTTTCACATATTTTTATTTAAAGAACTTTTTGCCTTTTGAAAATGTCCATTGCTGACTTGAAATTTTTGTATAAAACTGTGTGTGTGTGTGTGTGTGTGTGTTTAAGCAGTAAGTTGATAAAGTTTTTATTTTTTTCTTTAAATTGAAGGTGGCCACCTCCTTCATTAAGCCAAAACACCCAGGCTCAAGCAAAACACTCACCTTTTTGCAGAAGTAAAGTCTACTGGTGCCCAAAGAAATACTCATTTAATCTCCTGTAAGGAAGAGACTCTTTATCAGGCTGCCAGCTAATGTCAGTTATTGCTCATGACTTATAAATGGAGTCACTTTTAACATTCCCTCTTACTTTTTTACTTGAATCTTTAAATACCTGTCAAAATTTTAAAGTTGGTAATTCAAGATATTTGAAGTAGGATGGACATCCTGTTGAAAGGACAAATTAAAAGTGTAAATCTTATTTCCTTTTTGTACCTATTATTTGCCTTTTATCTTTTGGCTTTTATTTCCTTCTTCATCAAATTTACTTTGCACAATAGTGTTTGCAAATCTCATACATCTTAACTTTGACAAAAGACTGCTGACTAACCCATGTCGATTTGTGGTCTTATATCTGTCTTCTCTGCCTTTCTTCAAGGATTTGCTTTTTTTTTTTAATCCTCAACTGAGGATATTTTTCCATTGATTTTTAGATAAAGTGGGAGGGAGGGGGAGAGAGAGAGAGAGAGAGAAACATCGATGTCACATCGACTGATTGTCTCCTGTGCAACCCCGACTGAGGTGTGTACCCTTGACCAGAATTGAACCCACGACTCATTGGTCTGCCGGCTCTCTAACCACTGAGCCAAACCACCCAGGGCGGGGGCGTTTTAATTTTCCCAGCGACCACTGTGCTCTCTAGGGTTCGACCAGTATACTCCTGTTAGACATGGATATACCTCTTAAGTACAGTCTTCCTACTTTATTTATTGAAGAGCTGCTCACCTAGTGTCTTGATTCTAGGATTCTAGGACAGGACAGAAAGTTAGTGCTATTGAGGTGTCAGTTAGTCTTCAGTTTCATCTGCTGAACCTCCACCTTTAAGTATGAGGTCATGTGTTAGTGAGTCTCTGTCCTATGGGAGAGACTTTGGAGAAGGCCCTCTTTTGTCCATTGCTAGTCAACAAGAGGTGCCTTTAGACCCTGGATGTTATCATCTCATTTGGTCAGACCTTTGATGCACAGTTTCACAAAACTACTAACGTGGGTCTAACGTAGTTGTGATTAAGCCTGTACACAGAAAGATGACCTGATCTTAAGGTTTGGTATTCTAACCCAAGTTGACAGACTGTGCAGCCATCATAGATGTCTTAGGAGTTTGCCATTCTTTCTTCATAGACAGCTCTGGACATCTTTTGGGAAGATTTTGCGGTCTGGCATTCATGCTGCTGCTGTTCACTCTCTGTGAAGATTGTGCTTAGTTTCTGTAGCACAGCCTATGATACTGGGCTAGCTGCCTCCCTCTGGTTTTATTTCATCAGCCCCATCTTTGTATATGAGTAATCCATCTTAAACATCCTTCTCTGCTTGAGAAACTGACTTGGGGAAAAGCTTGGTCATTCAAGCCACCAATAAATTTAGATGGATGTCCCTAAGTATTGTTTTTTAGTTAAGGATTCTCTTTTCCCTGGACATTTTGGTTCAGTTCTGAGACCAAAATGCTAAAAAGTTCTGTTCAAAAGCAAGAGTCAAATCTTTTTTTCAGTTGTCATTTAGTACATCAGGCACTTCTCCAGGTTTCCCTAAATTAGCTTGATAGAATGAGACAAGCAACATCTACCTTTGGAACCACAGCATAGCTAAAATTAATTGTAGCTGGATAACTAGCATTGCAGCTGTCTAGTTCCCCATAGATAACCCAAGTTGTGAAGGGACAGTGTTTTGATTAGGCAAAACTCTAGGACTCGTGTTCCTGCCTTACTGGTACAAAAGGGTTTAAGTCTGAATGTGTAATGGGAGCATTGCCTTTGCCAAATCAAATGAGTGACAGGTTAACTATAAAATGTGACAATCACATTTCCTCTTTGCTCAAATAATTCTGTTTTTCCAAAGCTTTAGCAGCTTAATTAAATCTGTTGGATTGGAGGAGGATAGAACTGTTCTCTAGCAGTTAACATGATATTCTTTAAGGAGTAAAAAAACAAAGCCAAAGAAAATTTATTATCAAGCATGCCTGCCTTAAAGGTGGTAGTGGGTGAAATCTGGAGTTTTAATATGTTTTTAAAGATGTGTATCTCATATTCGGTGTTGGCCTCTAAGTCTAGTGTTTCATATGGAATTCTTACTGTATTTTACATTATGTACATTTAACTGCCTACCTAGCTTTCTTCATCCATGATGACATTCTCACCACAGGGTATTGATAAAGCAGAGTAAAAATGTGCTGTTTATATAGTTTACTTACAAGTAAAGAACCTGAAATAACCTGTAGTTTTGCATCTAATGCAGGCCCTGCTTTATTTGAGTTTTTGTCAGGATCAATTATGAAACAAGTTTGGTGCCTCCCCTTTATCATGTTTTTTCTCTTGTAGCAGTTGTGTTTAATGTCATTAAAAAGAAATAAAAGTTCTTATCAGTGGCATATGTACTGTGACCGTCTGTTGCAGGCTTTGAAGGAGGGTTACTTCCTCCTTTGCGTAGGTAAGTTAGTGGGGTATGGGAGGGGGTGGCAGTTAGAATGTGGTACTGGGAGGCGAGGATGCATGCTCCTTATTCTTTTCAGGGTAAATTACAGTGTTAACAAAGGCGTTTCAGCAGTTAAGAAATGTTGAAATTGATTGGGACTTGCAGCTACATATAGTGCATGTCAGGAGCCTGACACAGGGAGAGCCTGAAATATCACTGCTGCTGTTTTTGCAGAGGGGAAAGATGGCTCAGCCTGATCAGACAGGCATTGCCTTGCATTCCTTCCCATGTTTGTGTGATTGACCTCCGTGCCTCTGCTGCCTTTCCGGAGTTAGCCCTGATTAAGCAAGAAGCTGAGCATCCTGGGACATTCTCCCTTTGAAAGGGACATGAAATAGAACTTGTAGTACAAAACTGATGCTTGTTCTTCAGAAATTGCTCCTAGAATCTGGGGTACAGGTTGGATAACTATGGGTAGATGTGGGAGACAATGTTCCTTAGATCCCTTTTGTGAACCTAAGCTTCAACTTACCCCCAGGAACAAGGATGAAAGGGAAGGCAATAATAGCTCGGCACCTATATATATATTTTTTTTAATCCTCACCCGAGGATATTTTTTCATTGATTTTTTTAAAAAGAGGGAGAGGGAGGGAGGGAGAGAGATGTGAGAGAGACACATTGATTGGTTGCCTTCCAGAGGGCCCCAACCAGGGCCAGGGATTGAACCCGCAACCATGGTGTGTGCCCTTGACTGGGAATTGAACCCATCACTCTTAGTCTGTGGGCTGATGCTCTAACTGCTGAGCCAAACTGACCAGGGCTAGCCAGTGCTTTTTAAAACACAGCTCCTGCTGAGAAAATAAGTGGCAACATGTTTGACAGGCTTTTCTGTGCTGCTGCTCTATAAATTTTGTCTAGTATATTTTTTTACAGCCCAAGCAAAAGGTTCCATAAAACTTACTAAATACTCAGCTATTTGATATTCTTGTCTGAATCTGAGGTGCTTCTGACCTGTACATATCTATTTTGTTCCTGTCAGGTAGGTGGTCCTTTGTCCAGTAATTGCTCATTCCACTTTCAGCAAGGTGTGGCCATAGGCTTCACTTCAAAGGTTTCAGAGACAAGGCTGGATTCTCTGGAATGGTGGTATCCCTTACCCTTAGTTTGTTTCATGTTATAGAAAAGTGAGGAGAAGGAAAGGACCTTCTCTAAAAGGAATGAGATCATTCTTTAAAATATTTTCCTGTTTTAAACATTCTTCCTGTTAATACAGGAAGAAAAAACCCCAAGCACCTAAAACTAGAAAGCTGAGTTCTCCGCTCTTCTGAGAGAAAACAATTATTCCTAAACTAATTCTAAGGTATGTTTGCTTTGTATGCCAAAGCACCTGTCTGGGAAAAAATTTCCACTTGTCACAGGAAGTATCAAGTGGTCAGTGGTGGAATTCCTAAATGAACAAGCTCCTGTCTTGTCAATCCTCCCCACCTGTCCTCCCCCTATGACAACTGGAACATGCCATAGACAGAAAATCTGACCCTCCCTGGTACCCATTAAAAGGATGGAATGTAATCATTTGGACAATCTTCAAAGGAGTCCATGTGACAGTCCTGGAATGTATCATTAAGGAACTATTTGTATATGAAGATCTTCAATTTAGCGGCAAGTATCATTTGACAGTTTGGGAATATGGAACTGATGGAGTTTGGTGGGATTGGAGCTGGGGGGATGGTGTCCTATTTATGTAAACAATTTGTTCTTGGAGGCTACTTTTTTAAAAATATTTTTTTCTTTATTGATTTTAGAGAGAGAGGAAAGAAGAGAGAGATAGAAACATCAATGAGAGAGAACATTGATTGGCCACCTCCTACATGCCCCCCACTGGGGATTGGGCCCAAAACTTAGGCATGTGCCCTGACCAGGAATCGAACTGGCAGCCTCTTAGATGCTCAACCACTGAGCTGCACCAGCCAGGCTTGGAGCCTACTTTTTCTTTTTTTTATCCTCACCCGAGGACATTTTTCGATATTTCATTCAGATAGAGTGGGAGAGAGAGAGGAACATCGACGTGAAAGGGACACATCGAGTGGCCGCCACCCACACGACCCAACCAGGGCCGGGGACAAACTGCAACCAAGGTACATGCCCTTAGTGGGAACCAAACCCAGGTATCTCTGGACCGCAGGCCGACATTCCAACTGCTGAGCCAAACCAGCCAGGGCTGGAGTCTACTTCTTTTA